GCTCGAAGTCAAGCTGAGAAGTTTCCCAAGGCCTGCTGGTATCTACAGGCGAGTGGCCCATGCATGAACACCACAGTCTGGGCCTGGCCCAGGGGCTATCTCCACCCCCCTGGTCCCACCACCATGGGCATTCAAATACACTCTTCTCTCTTGACATTCTGTGAGGATGTCATCACAGAGCCATATAGTTCTTGACATTCTGTGAGGATGTCATCGCAGAGTCATATAGTTCTTGACATTCTGTGAGGATGTCATCACAGAGCCATATAGTTCTTGACATTCTGTGAAGATGTCATCACAGAGCCATATAGTTCTTGACATTCTGTGAGGATGTCATCACAGAGCCATATAGTTCTTGACATTCTGTGATGATGTCATCACAGAGCCATATAGTTCTTGAAATTCTGTGAGGATGTCAGCACAGAGCCATTTAGTTATTGACATTCTTTGAGGATGTCATCACAGAGCCATATAGTTCTTGATATTCTGTGAGGATGTCATCAATCAATCAATCAAATGTATTTATAAAGCCCTTTTTACATCAGCAGATGTCACAAAGTACTCTACAGAAATCCAGCCTAAAACCCCAAACAGCAAGCGATGCAGATGTAGAAGCACAGTGGATAGGAAAAACTCCACCAACATACTACCCTGAGACAAGGCTGAGTATAGCCCACAAAGATCTCCCCCACCGCACGAGGCCGAGGGGGCGCAAAACCGGACAGGAAGATCACGTCTGTGACTCAACCCACTCAAGTGACGCACCCCTCCTAGGGACGGCATGGAAGAGCACTAGTAAGCCAGTGACTCAACCCCCATAATAGGGTCAGAGGCAGAGAATCCCAGTGGAGAGAGGGGAGCTGGCCAGGCAGAGACAGCAAGAGCGGTTCGTCACTCCAGTGCCTTGCCGTTCACCTTCGCACCACTGGGCCAGACTACACTCAATCATAGGACCTACTGAAGAGATGAGTCTTCAGTAAAGACCTAAAGGTCGAGACTGAGTCTGCGTCTCTCACATGGATAGGCAGACCATTCCATAATAATGGAGCTCTATAGGAGAAAGCCCTGCCTCCACCTGTTTGCTTAGAAATTCTAGGGACAATAAGGAGGCCTGCGTCTTGTGACCAGAGCGTACCTGTAGGTATGTAGGACAGGACCAAATCGGAGAGATAGGTAGGAGCAAGCCCATGTACTGCTTTGAAGGTTAGCAGTAAAACCTTGAAATCATCCCTAGCCTTAACAGGAAGCCAGTATAGAGAGGCTAGCACTGGAGTAATATGATCACATCTTTTGGCTCTAGTCAATATTCTAGCAGCCGTGTTTAGCACTAACTGAAGTTTATTTAGTGCTTTATCCAGGTAGCCGGAGAGTAGAGCATTGCAGTAGTCTAATCTAGAAGTGACAAAAGCATGGATTAGCTTTTCTGCATCATTTTTGGATAAAAGGTTTCAGATTTTTGCAATGTTACGAAGATGGAAAAAAGCTGTCCTTGAAATATTCTTGATATGTTTGTCAAAAGAGAGATCAGGGTCCAAAGTAAAGCCGAGGTCCTTCACAGTTTTATTTGAGACGACTGAACAACCATCAAGATTAATTGTCCGATCCAATAGCAGCTCTCTGGGGACCTAGAACTAGCATCTCTGTTTTGTCAGAGTTTAAAAGTTTAAAAAATAAGTAATCACAGAGTCATATAGTTATTGACATTCTGTGAGGATGTCATCACAGAGCCATATAGTTCTTGACATTCTGTGAGGAACATGTTTACACTGATCCATATAGTAAGCAGAGGAGTATAATTACAAACGCCTTCCACTTACTGCAGTAATAACCTGGACATGTATTGTGCACATTCTGCACAAACGACAGTATCACATCTCAACAGTTGAACAAACCTCTCGACAAACAGTGTAGGGTAATGGCTCAAGCCTGCAGGTATTAGAGTCGTATTACCTTGATGAGCTCTGAAATCAGGATAATTATACCTTTCCAACTGGTGATGAAACAAAAACAACCTAACCCCCAACTTATCTAATTCTCTCCTTATCCCCAACATGTATTTTGGGGGTATAGCATTTCTGTAGCTTATGTCATCCAGCTTGAGTTGACAGACAGAGGGCCTACTCGCTTGGCCGGCACTGCTTCCAGTCAGCCAATGAGACGGAGCGTTGTAATTACAGGTACGGCTGTCAGGCCAATCAGGGTTGATTTTAATGAATATGCCAGGTCGTGACCCCTGGAGGTTACCTAGCAACACAGGCGAAGACATATCTTGGCACACTGCCTTTTTCTGGACCATATATTGCTGAAGCGAAACCTTCAGACTTTCATTGAGCACTTTAATTTAGTCAGTTTCTAAATTATTACTGTTCACACATACAGTAGACCACATTAGAGTTTTATTGTAATGCCATTCATTGGTTGTAATCCAGGAATATGTAAGCAATAGAAACACTGTATTTGAAACATGAACATTACATTACTTCTCTCTCATCTCCTAATGTCCTTCATGTTTTGGATTGAATACATCAAAAGCCATACCATAAGGACAGTTGGGAGTAAGACATCTACAATCTATTAGATGTCAAATTTCAAGTAGCCCAACAAAGTGCATGTGCAAACACATTACCCTGAAAATGACATTTCCACAACATGACTTACCCAAACGTACACTGCTCATCATTACACACACTATTACACACACTACACAAATATCAACAACTCAAAAAGTAAAAAAACATTATTAGAATTGTGTAATAATACATTATTATTATTATTGTTAATATTATTACTATTATTATTATCATCATTATTATTATCATTATTATATAAATATTATTACCATCATTGCCACTGCTGAATTTTAAAGTGCATGATGTTGCTGAATAATGTATAACAACATTAAGTAGTACATTGAAAAAATTAAATTCTATTTCAACCTTGAAAATGTGTATGTGAACGTGGAACTTTATATTCGGATTAGGTTTCTAAAATTAAATACCTGGATTAGTGACTGAACCCTCTCTACAAAGCACCCATTGTCGTAGACCAAACAAGATCTGGCGCTCGCCCAATAAGGTTGACCTTACTGCTGGCGAGACATTTGTTTCGTTTCATTTAGGCAGCGTTATTTATTTGGGTGGTACCTACTCTTGTGCTTTTCATGTCAATCAAATGTTATAATACAGTAGTTTGAAATGTGAAGCATCTCATGCATTGATTATTTAACTTGTGTTAATGATTATTTAACTTGTGTTATTATTGCTGCTGTTGTTGTTGCAATTATTATTACTATATAATAACGATCACGACCTAAATATACATTTTATAAATTGAGAAATCAACATCAGTGAAATCGAAAGTATTGACGAGTAGCCTTGAAAACAACATTAAAAATGAGCAAATAATGTAGCAGCAAGAACGAGAGCGAGAGCAGAGAGAGAGAGAGAGAGAGAGAGAGAGAGAGACCAAGTTGATATACACTATTAGCTGTAGGGCCTATAAGAAAAACATGTATTTGTCAATTAACACTATATTAGGTCGTATAGATACAGTGTCATTTTAACAATTAGTTCAAAATCATTTACCCATAATACAATATGTGCAGACGGAGAGAGTGGATTTAGAAGTATCTCTCATTGCGGTTGCTATGTAGCTCTTACTTATAAATGGTGAGGGCGATCATAATGTTTACCATGATTATAAAGTATTTTCAACATTATTTTATGAAGATGAGCGTTCATTTCTAAGCATCTATATAGGCCTACTCACCATGTACAGTTTCGGGACGTCACAGCCCTTCAGTGGAGTTTCTGGACTGTTGTCTCCCCCTATTGGTCAAAATAGACGATGCCGCTTTGCAGTGGCACCGAGAGAAGAGTCGGTGTTGTATGACAATCTTCATCAAGTTACAGAAAGCATTCAGCAGGAGATACCACAAAAAGAACACAGAAAACATGGTCTTTATTGAATTAGATTAAGCAGATCCTTTTTTAAATGTAGGCAAACAGGCCTGGCAAATGTAAACCAACATAACAGTTTCTTTGCCTGAATATTTGGGATGCCGAATCATGTTCAGTAACTGTACTTATTAATATGAAAATAGCCAGTCTAGTATCCATTTCAAAACAAAACTCTAGATCCTTGTAGATATATTATCCTAATGAAAATACAAGTGCTACAATAAATAAAAAACAATAAATAAAGAAAATGCACATGAATAAGCCGATAGAGTTTGTAATGTTTTTATTTTTAATAGTTTAATCGAAAGATGGACACATGACAAACTGGTGACTATACCAGACATTATATATTTAACTTTTGTATATTTCGTTTTTGAGTAAAATATACCAATAATGAACACAAACAAGTATCTAGGCAATATGACTCTATGATTACATGTGTATAATAAATGAATGAAGTAATACTAACACATTAATTATTGAATCAATGTACATCTTTCGACAAAGTTGAAAGAATTTAACAAATTAACCTATTTTATCTAATATTATTTAAGTCCCTCTCTCTCTGTTGTTGACTAAAGATTGGGGGGAGCACAGAGTCAAATTTCGTCTCCGCCTCCTAAAAATGTTCACCCAATCGCTTCCACCCTGACTTGGACCAGTCTATAAATACAGGCTTCGCACTGAAAGTGTATTCATAATTCTCTCAATGATCTTGGAAGTTTGACGCGAACATTAAATTGCGCCTTTATGTCAGAAATTGTTTTAATTCCAAGAGAAATATACATTAGAGGGCATTTGCAGCGTGCCTATTCCATCGGGTCGCAAGAAAACGTGCTTTGAATTGACGACTTTTGAAAGGACTTCACATTAACATTTTGACAGTTTGCAGGAGTGCAGCTTTGTCAATCAATTTGCGCATCGAACTCAGTGACATTCATTGCAGCCCGTGGGCACAGCAGCAGTTGGATTCTAAAGTCTTGAAAGGAAGGATTTTTTTTCACTCCAAGAGCAATTCATTGTATTAGCTCAGCGGTAATTTTTTTCGCATGAATCTACTCGACCCCTTCCTGAAGATGACAGACGAACAGGAGAAATGTTTCTCTGACGCTCCAAGCCCCAGCATGTCTGAGGATTCGGTCGGCTCGCCGTGCCCGTCCGGTTCCGGTTCCGACACCGAGAATACCAGGCCGTCCGATAATCATCTCTTACTGGGTCCAGACGGCGTGCTCGGCGAGTTCAAGAAGGCTGACCAAGACAAGTTCCCTGTATGTATCAGAGATGCAGTGTCTCAGGTGCTGAAGGGTTACGACTGGACCTTGGTGCCCATGCCAGTCCGAGTGAACGGCTCCAGCAAAAACAAGCCCCATGTCAAGAGACCTATGAACGCTTTCATGGTGTGGGCTCAAGCCGCCCGGAGGAAACTGGCGGACCAGTACCCACATCTCCACAATGCAGAACTCAGCAAAACCCTCGGCAAACTTTGGAGGTATGTTACAACTCCTTATCGTCACTTTTCTCCGCCATTGAGGAGATTTTCACTTGATCAACTAATATTTGTGCTATTCAAAAATTGCTTCATAGATAAAGCTTGAATAAATAGCAGTGTGTACCAATTATTTGGAAAGATGTCTGGTGTGTAGCTACATGTGCAATTCAATAGTGTAGGATATGTGCATAATTTCGATTCGAATTAGTCGTTTTCAAATATTGGGATATAATAATAACATCTTAATAATTATAATTATAATAATACTTCTTTCAACACTTCGAAAAACTTGTAATTTAATACAATACTTGTTTCCAGATTGCTCAACGAAGGCGAGAAGCGTCCGTTCGTAGAGGAGGCTGAGCGCTTGAGGGTGCAGCACAAGAAAGATCACCCCGACTACAAGTACCAGCCCAGACGGAGAAAATCCGTCAAGAACGGGCAGGGCGAACCAGAGGACGGCGAGCAAACCCACATTTCTTCCGGTGACATCTTTAAAGCTCTCCAGCAAGCAGACTCGCCCGCGTCCAGCATGGGCGAAGTGCATTCACCCGGTGAACATTCAGGTAAGAATAATTCATTCGAACAATTCATTATATTGTCGTTCTAGATAATACTTGCTTTTGGTCGATATAATCATTTTATAGTATAATGCCGGTGAAATTAAAAAAGTAGTTATATATATCCTTTATATTGGAAATGCCTCTACTATCCTATTCAAAACGTGAATATCGAAACGAAACAATTTCAATGCCTTTTTTTTTTTACAAGCCATCATGCAAATCTACCACCTGTCTTTACTACTTATCTCTTCTTCATTAAAGCACATTAGATAATGACACCATTCCCTTCATGGAGGGAAACTCAGACATCTTAAAGCATATCTTTATTAGCTCCATGGTTGCATCAATTGTGTCAATAATATCATGATGGTGTGCAGTGAGATTAACTCTTTCTTGCTTTATTTTTTTACCACCAGCCCAGTCCCAGGGCCCACCTACACCACCGACCACCCCCAAAACAGAGCTGGCTGCGGGCAAGGCCGACCTGAAGCGCGAGGGCCGCCCCCTGCAAGAGGGCACGGGCCGCCAGCTAAACATCGACTTCCGGGACGTGGATATCGGTGAGCTGAGCAGCGACGTCATCTCCAACATCGAAGCCTTCGATGTCAACGAGTTTGACCAGTACCTGCCGCCCCACGGGCACCCCGGCGTGCCGGCGTCAACGGCACCCAGACGGGCTACACAGGCAGCTACCGTGGCATCAGCGCCAGTTCCATCGGCCAGGTGGGTGCTGGAGGCCACGGCTGGATGTCCAAGCAGCAGCACTCCCTCGCCGCCCTGGGTGGAGGTGGAGGTAGTGGGGGAGAGCAAGGCCAGAGCCAGGGGAGAACCACTCAGATCAAGACGGAGCAGCTGAGCCCCAGCCACTACAGTGAGCAGCAGGGCTCTCCTCCCCAGCACGTCACCTATGGTTCATTCAACCTGCAGCACTACAGCGCTTCATCCTACCCCTCCATCACCCGCACACAGTATGACTATTCTGATCACCAGGGCGGCGCCAACTCTTATTATAGCCATGCAGGTGCCCAAGGCTCAGGGCTCTATTCCTTCAGCAGCTATATGAGCCCCAACCAGAGGCCCATGTATACCCCCATCGCTGACCCCACCGGAGTGCCCTCGGTGCCCACCCAGACCCACAGTCCACAGCACTGGGAGCAGCAGCCTGTCTACACCCAGCTCTCCAGGCCCTGAGAGGCCAGAGGTTAGAGGTCAACCCCTTAGTCCTTAGCACAGACTGTCCCATAAGAACCCATCTCCTACCAGAGACTCTTATCTCCCAGAATCCTCGCGGGCCTACAGGCCTCTACACCAACACACCCTCCACCGCCAATAGAAAAACATTCAAGGACTTTTTTAAAGTACTGAACATTTATTATCTTAGGAAAAACGGCTCACGACAGTGCCTTTTTTAATGCTCGGAGTTGTGATTATATTTTTATAGGTATAATGTTAAAATAAACTCATTTTTGAAAAGAGGAATCCTCCGTGAGGATATATTTGTTATAAATATTTTAGTATGTACTGTGTATGTGTTCTGAACTTTATTTTGGTACTATATCTTTCGGGGGATTTATACGTTTAATGAGGAAGAGACGCTTTAGGTGAACAACGTCCTCCGCGGCCTTACTTCTGGCTCATGTATTTTTGTACAGGAACAGGAAGTCAAAAGAAAATAATCCCTTTACTCACTGCCTGTCCTCTTTTAATACATTCCGCTTTGATTCTCATGTATATATCTTATTGTAATTGTTATGAGATCTTATAAGAACTGAGCAAAGCTGGTGTTTAAATAGTTTATGGCCATGACTTACTATGTGACCATGTCATCAGTGAATTAGACAAAGTATCGCTATTTTCTTGTCGTTATTGTGTTGGGAATGCTAATAGCATTAGAAAGTGCCATATACTTACACCAGGGGCCTTACTGACTGTGTTGCTAGATGTGATTGAGAAATGCTTTGTATTGCCTTCATGCCATTGGTGCCTGTTGAAGCACAGTAGAGAGGCTCTTTACATTAGCGATGCTAGCACCGCAGTGGAGCCTAGAAACCACAGCTGAGTTCTCACTTCCTGTCTCTGGAGGGATACAGGAAGTGGCCTTTGACCCCCAAGCAGTCTCCCTTCCAGTTGAGTCGTTCCTCTGGCCTCTTATTCCTTCCAGTCTTAACCTCTTTAATTTATTCATTAGCAATTAATTTTATTTGAAAAGTAATAACTATTTTGCATTTTATTCCTTTTTAATTCCGCAGCGACTAATTGAGATGAGAAAAAAATAACTTTTCCGCAGATGGATTAGTTGTTTCGATGTGGTACAAATTGTTTATTTATAATTTGTAAATGTTTTCAGTTGAAATAGTTATTTTGATGATCTAGTTGTGTACAGCTTACTTCTAATTATGATCAAACTTGATCTGAAATATCTAAAAAAGAAAAAACTGGAAGTTGTTTTATTCATTCTAACAAATATGGATTTAATGGTTATTGGAGCTGTGGCTGCAGTGTGAAGATGTCTTTCTATAGAATCACCAGCATACTTTTTTGTTTTTGAAAAAAGTGATGTTCTTTATTCTCTATTCCATATCTTAGTTCTCATGTTGGCATCTTTGTAATTCAACTGAATTCTTGTTTTCCTAGGTAAAACATGCCATTGTCTTAAAAGAAGCTTATCTTTTGTATTATATTGTTTGCAATAAAAATAAAACATATTGAAAATAAACTCTATGGTTCTGTTTCAAATGTTCAGAGAATGTTATTTTAGATACAGTATGTGCATGCACACTAGCAGGGGGCTGAACAGTTTTATCGACTACATTTCTGGAAATCTCTATCATGTCAACTTAGGCGCAGTGGGATTCCTTTATACCCATAATGCAATGCTTTATAAGGGAAGTTGACTCATGCTGAGAGAAAACAGTAAGATGGAGACGTCATCTAATGACTTAGAATCACATTAAAAAGGAGGTCAGAACCACTGCAGAACCACGGCAGTTTATCAAACGCGAGAAAAAAACTTATTTCATAAAAGAAAGAAAAGCAATGTAAGATTAAATGTAAAGTAGAAACAAAACATAACACAATAGTAAGATTTGGTGAAGTACAACATTGAATAAATGTAAATAGACTAGCCAGTTCCTATGCTGTAACCAGTCAACTACATAGATAATACTACTGTAGAATGAGAATAGGCCTACGTGTGTAACTTCTCAAGCCCAACATGTGACATTCATTTGTCATGTAAAATACCCTGAGGAAGGAATATCCAAAAGGTTTTAACAAACTATTAACATTAACCCTTACCATAACCCTAACCTTAACCCTAACACTAACCTTAACCCTTACCATAACCCTAACCTTAACCCTAACACTAACCTTAACCCTTACCATAACCCTAACCTTAACCCTAACCCTTATTCTAAACCTTTCCCTAACCCTAACCGTAACCTTAGCAAGCAGTTGCTTATCAACAGATAGTTTGTTGATTGTATGAGCATCTACAGATGGACCATCCAAATGACTACAAATAATTTTCGAAGCAAACTTCCATTGTCCTCCCTAGAGGTTCCTGAATATGTTTACATTGTCAGCTTGCTCCACTCTTTATGTTCCTACACCTTGGTTGGTGAGCCAGGGGCTACTAGCTACTACTAGCTTCCTTTCATCCTGTCCTGCAGGCTTCCCAGACCATGAGGTCACCGGGCCATCATTACTACGGCCTATTGGGATGATGTATGTCCACACCCCTTCCCCGAACATGTATACCCCACTGCTTAGAGAAACAAACTGCACATAAAATGATGTTTATTCATTACCAGCCATACCATAATGGGATTGCGCCACCCTCTATAAATCAATGACAATGTAAACACAATCAGTGGCTAGGTTGGGGAACTTCATGTTGAGAGAATGTTGCTTTCATGTTGAAAGTTAGAGGTAGGATTTCAGATGACATCTCTGTCCTCACGTCAAGTGGACTGGATCCATTTCTCTACCACCAACCCACCACTACGCCTCACTACCTCACTGACTGGCTGTACAGACTGGACTGAATGCACTCAACCCCTATTTCATATTACACTATAATGTATATTGAGATCTGTGGACTCACTGGCTGATTGCCCAAAGCCTGGTCTCATAGTGTGTGCTGTAGACAACTCTTCTATCGTTGTCATGCCTTGCAAGTTGGCATGGAACCAGTAATGTGCACCGCCTTAGTGTGGGATGAATGAATACTATACTGGCCCTGTATAGGGAACTTTAATTGTGCATCATAGGCAGGCATAGAGGTAGTGGAATGATCCAAGAAGTGCCGAAACGTAAAATATAATACACCAATGACATCAGACAAAAAACAGGGAAATGAAACAGTGCCGTACAAGATACCCAACACACCAGGGCCGGGACTCAAATAAACCACACTGAACTTGACTTTTAAAGGTGTGTTAGAATCCCAGCCGATGTCTTGTGTCTGCACTGTGGTAATGTAATTAACAGTAGTGTCTGAGTTGGGGATGGTGGTCTGCCTGACCTGCTTTTGCCACGAGCCTGGTTATGTAGAACTGCTTTTTGGTTAATGACAGCTTCCCCTCTTTCCCTCTTCCCCACAGCAGGAGGCAGCAGACTGTGTAAGACCTGGACCCCCTCCTGCCGAGACCCCCAGAGATCCCCTGAGACACATCTATCACTGCCTCTCTGCAGTGGCCCAGACCAGGAGCAGGGCAGCGGGATAGGGGGGCAGGGGGCTAAGGGGGGCAAGGGGATGAGGGGGCAGGCGGCAGGGGTTAGGGGAGAGCAGCTGAGGATGGTCCACTGGAGAGGAGGAAAACCAGGGAGAGCGGGGAGAGAGAGACGGAAAGAAGGGGGAGAGAAGGAAGAGAGTGGGGGAGAGAGGGAGGGGAGAGGGGATAGAAGGGGATAGAAGAGAAATAGAGGTGGAGAGATTGTACAGAAAAACACAAAGTAATTAGTGAATTTGTTGTAATCTATATTATTGTTATTGAACACAGATGTAACAATGATTACTCTACTGATATGGTATCATACATGGTTTAGCTTTTCCTCTTCTCCCAATCCTGTCAATTCCCAACAGCAGCCTGGCTCTGGACCTCAATGTGACGCCTTTTCTCAAAAACAGGATAGAGAGAAGGTGAGAATAAGTGAGAGAGGACTAATGTCCAAGACATCTGAGGAAATCATCAACACACACTCCTACCATGTGTGTGTGTGTGGCGTGCATGCATGTGTGAAACAGAATCTCACACAGTCATCCAGAAATATGCACAGAAATATCCACAGAGTCCCTGGTCATTACATTACTGTGGGCTGTAACAGAGTCCCTGGCCATTACATTACTGTGGGCTCTAACAGAGTCCCTGATCATTACAATAATGTGGGCTCTAACAGAATCCCTGATCATTACAATACTGTGGGCTGTAACAGAGTCCCTGGTCATTACAATACTGTGGGCTCTAACAGAGTCCCTGATCATTACAATACTATGGGCTGTAACGGAATCCCTGGTCGTTACAATACTGTGGGCTGTAACAGAGTCCCTGGTCATTACAATACTGTGGGCTGTAACAGAGTCCCTGGTCATTACAATACTGTGGGCTGTAACAGGGTCCCTGGTCATTACAATACTATGGGCTGTAACAGAGTCCCTGGTCATTACAATACTGTGGGCTGTAACAGGGTCCCTGGTCATTACAATACTGTGGGCTCTAACAGAGTCCCTGGTCATTACAATACTATGGGCTGTAACAGAGTCCCTGGTCATTACAATACTGTGGGCTGTAACAGGGTCCCTGGTCATTACAATACTGTGGGCTCTAACAGAGTCCCTGATCATGACAATACTGTGGGCTGTAACAGAGTCCCTGGTCATTACAATACTGTGGGCTCTAACAGAGTCCCTGATCATTACAATACTGTAGGCTGTAACATAGTCCCTGGTCATTACAATACTGTGGGCTCTAACAGAGTCCCTGATCATTACAATACGGTGGGCTGTAACAGAGTCCCTGGTCATTACAGTACTGTGGGCTGTAACATAGTCCCTGATCATTACAGTACTGTGGGCTGTAACAGAGGATGCTGCCCAGCCTGAAATAAAACTGGACTTTCACTGGATTTCATCAGATTAGTCATGTGCCGTAACATCTTAATAGCCCAGACACAGGCAGGAAATGACATCA